ACCCACTATAGCCTACACAACAATAACACATAGTGTTTGACAATTGAATCCTGCGCACTTTTCCTTTCACAACTCATAACAACCTGCACGAGGTGGTTGCGGAGGTAATTGAGTAGTTGGCGAAACTTTCAAAGTGTGTAAGGAAAAATCCTTTTCCTTAATTCGCGTCCGTGCTCAGCGCGTACACCACTGTTCCCACCAACAGCACCCAACAGTAATCCGTTACCACTCGCGACATTCGCCTCGACACTGTTCCCGCCACTGTTCACGACGCGACCCAACCATACGGTTCGGTTGGTAACTCGCGCTCCGGACCTCCGCCTCGTCATTTCCCAACCTCGGCGCCAGGCCCGTCGGGCACCCCATTTTCACGCATTACCGTTACCACTGTATTTTTGCTATATATTATTCGCTCATGCCTTCGCTCATTGTACTCTTGGTTAGATAGTGCAATCTTCGATCGTTCACTCAATTGCACTCGTAACAAAGTGGGCAAACAAAAAATCTGCGTAGGTCTCCCAGGACCCTGCTCAACTTGTTGCCGATCAAAGTTGGACGAACGGATAGGTGTTCATTCGGGCATGATAGTCTGGCATTTTCGGTTCAACAAGCTGGTTCTGTTGGCATTTAGGCCCCTAGGAACGCACGGGCGTGCTGACTTTCCGTGAGGGGTGCACTGCTATGCACGCACCATAACTGACAACTGACACGTGTCCGATGCTGCTCGAAGCGTGCTCTGTCTTCAGGCTTTTTGATAGGATTCGATCAAATCCGTTCAAGAAGCTCTCAAAGCGATCGCGATGTCAGTTCTAGCGCGCGCATCCCGCAATTCCGCGGTATTGCGTACTGCATGCTTCCGCCTTGCCGCGCCGGCGATCGCATGGGGGGGATTCTCGACGGCCACTGCTTGCGCATCCCCTGCCTCCGCTTCCGCCTCTCCCGCCGATGATTCCCCCGCTGTTGCGGGTAATTCAACCGCAGGACGCGCGTTTGAGGCGTCAGGTGGGAGAGTGACGTCCGCAAGCGTTGATGGCGAAGAGGTGGCTAAGTTCGAAGCTCTCGCCAGCCAATGGTGAGCTCTGGCGAAAAGAAGTTTCGAAATTGGTCCACATGGCCTAAAAAGCTGCTAAATTCTCGCAACTCCACTTTCTTTCATGAGGGAACCACACAGCTTTCACAATGGCTTGCCGCTCTCCCCATCCCCCCCAATCCTTCCCCAACCTTCCCCATCCCTCCCCATCCCTTCCCATCCATCCCCATCCCTCCCCATCCCTCCCCATCCCTCCCCCATCCCTCCCCATCCAGGTGGGACCGCAGGGGCCCACATGCGCCACTGCATGCCATGTCAGCTGCCCGCGTGGCGTTCGTGCGTGATGCCATGTGTCGGCACTTTGGGTGAGCGAAAGAGGGGGTAAGGCGAGAGGCAGGGAGAGAGAGAGAGAGAGCTTATGAGTGAGAGGAGTTTGTGGGGGACGGCTTATGAGTGGAAGGAGTCAATGAGAGAGAGTGGAGGTTCACGAGTGTGACCATGCTTTCATGTCCGAAGACCTGGCTTCAGCCACTTTCATTGCAGCATCTAGCCCATTGCCTTTTTCTCGCCTCCCCTTTCCCACCAGGCCATGCCATGCCATCCCATGCCGTGCCATGCCGTGCCATGCCATGCCATGCCGTGCCATGCCGTGCCATGCCATGCCATGCCATGCCGTGCCATGCCGTGCCATGCCATGCCATGCCATGCCATGCCGTGCCATGCCATGCCATGCCGTGCCATGCCATTCCATATGATCCCATACGATGACATGCTTCCAATTGCCATTTGATTGCGTTTCATCCCAATCCTGACCTCAATCATTCCCGCCTTCCCTCTCTATCTATCCATCAGTCTGAATGCAGACTCTGCCAGGCCACTGGAAGGGCTGAAAGTTCTTGACGTGGGGTGTGGGGGGGGGCTTCTGTGTGAGGTGAGTACGATTGGTGTGCTACCAGGCAAGCGTCTCAGTGAACGTTGTTCATTGTCCTTACTCTTCATTTCATTTCTTTTGTTTCTGGTGCTTTTTACTTAGCTGTAGTTTCTTTCGTTTCTTTTGTTTCTTTCGCTTTCACCATTCTGCTCACCTTCCAAAACACATCCCAACCAACTCCCTCCGGTCCGGGGTCTTCCCCCCTTGTGTCGTTTTCTGCAGCCGCTGGCTCGCTTGGGAGCTACAGTGACAGGTGTTGATGTGACACGTATCAACACACGAGTGGCTGCTGCTCACGCTGTACGTCTCTTTTGATGCATGTCCCTAGTGCGGCAGAGCAAGCCTCTGAAAGGAGGTGTTTTGTCTTAGGCTCTCTTGATCCACCGTTTGATGCTCTTTATCAGCAGCGTCACTTTCCGTAAGGCGTTCTTCTGCTGTGTTTGTTTTCGTCCAGTTGTTTTTCCAGAATTTGTAGAACCACCCAGCCGCCACGTACGTCTGCAATTGTGACTATACAATAGCATGTCACTGGGTTTGGAGTGTCTTTCAATGCATGCTTCGCGCGTGTGTACGTACGTGTGTGCAGGCAAGGGATCCTATCACCCGATCCATATCTTACAAGTGCATCTCTGCAGGTATCCACTTTCATTTGAATGACTGCCAATTCTCCCCTTGCTTGGGATCTGCTCACAATTTGACCCCTCTCCTCTTCTCAACACTCTCCGTTTCCACTCTCTTGTATCTTCTCCCTGCCCTCTCCCCGCCTCTCTCTTCTCCCTCCGCGTCTCTCTATCAAGTGCAGAAGAACTTGCTGCACAGGGGACTATGTTTGATGCCGTGCTCTCATTGGAGGTGAGGTGAGGTGCGGTACAGTCAGGTGAGGTGAGGCAAGGTGAGGCGGGGTGGGGTGACGTGAGGTGGGGTGACGTGAGGTGAGGTAGGTGAGATGAGCTGAAGTAAGGCGAAGATTAACTTCTTGATCTTGCAGCTGGTTACTCCTTGCTCGCCTTTCCCCTCATTCCTGCTGCTCTCTGCTGTTCGCTGCTCTCTGCTCACCCTGCTTTCTGCTCTCAGCTTCTGTGCAGGAAATGTTCACCTTCATTTCGCCTCTTTTGTGCTTCCCTCGCTCCTCTCTGCCCAGGTGATTGAGCATGTGGCGGATCCTGCTGCTTTCGTCCGCACCCTCACATCTCTCTGCCGACCCACTCCACCACCCTCCGCTCCTTCCTCCCCCCTCACCCCATCTTATTCATCTCCTTCCCAAACTTCCACAGCACAAACGGCCCCATCCCCATCCATGCCCATGCCGCCATCCACTTCCTCTCCAGACACATCAACACCCCCACCCACATCAACACCCCCACCCACATCAACACCCCCACCCACACCAACACCTCCACCTGCACCAACATCCCCACCTTCAACTCCCAACCCCGGAGGCGTGCTCTTCCTCTCCACCATCAATCGCACCGCTCGCTCCTTTGCTCTCGCCATCGCAGCTGCCGAGTACATCCTCTCTATAGTATGTACATTTTCTTTCGTGTACGTACATTCCTTTTTTGTGTGTATAGATTCTTTCTTGCTCTATGTAAATTCTCTCTACTGCATGCCTCTCTTTTCCCCGTCCAATAGAGTGTGCCTCTGTACTAGCGTCCTTACCTAACAATTGGACTGACTTCGTCACGTCGCCAAGCTTCTATTTTTCATTGTTGTTGTCGTCGTCGTCGTCATCGTTGTTGTTCTTGGTGTTTTTTTTTTTTTTTTTTTTTTTTTTTTTTGGCATGAATTTGTTGCATGGCCACCGGTTTTGCCCGTTTGACAAAACTTGGAGCTGCCTAGCACTTACCAAAATATTTTTGAGGCACCTCAATAGAGCTTGGGAAACGACTAAGGCTTCACAAAGTATCACCCTGATTGCAATCACCCTCACTTGTGGCAGGTACCCCGGGGGACTCATGATTGGAACAAGTTCATCACCCCTTTGGAGCTTGCCCTCATGCTGCGACGAACCAACTTCCAGGTGAGCTGCAACTACTTTAAGGAGTGCATGTGGGTGTAGGTAATTCTCATCATGTTCATTTCATAGTTCAAGGCTTAGCAGTGACAATCACCCCGTTGGAGCTCACCCTTATGCTGTGACGAGCCAACTTCCAGGTGAGATGCATCTGCTTCTAAAGGGGTGCAGCCATGACGCCAAATGGCGCTTGCAAAGGAAAGCCCAGGATCAGCGTACCTTTCCCGTGCATGTAACCATGTCTAACGCTGTTGCTGTGGCGAGCCAGGTTTGGGGAGGACCCTGTTTACTCTATCTCCACTCCAAACAGCCCATCCCTTCCTGCAGAGTGTTTTGGGAACTCTTAAAAATTGCAGGGTGTTTGCAGCGCTAACCATCTCTTAAAAGCTCTGACTTAATCCTGCGTGGGTGTTCCCTTCTCCCCTCCCCTGCCTTGCTCTCCCGACCCGCCAGCTGGCGGAGACACGTGGCATGGTGTACGACCCAATCAGCAACAGGTGGAATCTCTCAAGAGATGACATGGCAGTGAATTACATTGCCATGGCCACTCGTGTGGAGTAGAGAGGAGTGTGGCTGTGGGTTGGGTGGGGCATGTCACACGCACGCATGGGTCGCTTCTAAACCAGTAGGTGGCATGGTAGTGAATCACATTGGCACGGCCACTCGTATGTGGAGTGGAGTTGAACTATGGCCTGTAAGGTGTGCTTCAGTCATAGGCTTGTAAATTTGTTGCTGTTCACGTGGATGTGCACTGAAACATGTTTCCATGGCCACTCTTGATGGCCGGCCATGCTGGTTGATACTGCTGCTGACGTTCTCATGTTGAGGTATACCGGTAGTTACAATTCTAAACCTCGCCAAGGCAGTATGCAAGTGCGCAACATGAACACAGACAGGGAGCGCGGGAGGAGGGACCCTGTCGAGAAGTGGTGGAGGGAGGGTTGGTGGTTACAGGATGCGCACATCCTCATGCATACCCATTGATAGGGAACTAGAAAAACAGCCCAGCGTCTTGCCAAGCCAGCTCAAAGGATTTGTTGCAACTCGGCGTCTTGCCGAGCCAGCTCCAGAAGCATAGGATCGTCAAAGAACTTGTTGATGCTCACATCCTCGCTCATGCCCTGAAACAACAGACATAGAGAAGCAACCAGTAAACAGGTAACCAGAAAAGGATTTAGAACACGATGGCCGGATTGGCGGGGTCACTCTGCACCAAGAGCCCCTTCGGCCAACAGGCATGCCCTTGTCCAGTAGTTGATTTCTAACACAGACCTCTCATACACACCTCTTGCACCAACTTCCCTCACTCTCTCCTCACCTTTCTCCGCCTAGTTTTGACCATGAACTCTCTCGCGAGGTGCTGAGCAGGAGCCGGCTCTAGCGGGTGCAGCACGACGCTCTTGTCAAGAGGGTCCCCCGGCACCACAGCCCAGTGGTCAAACACCGACACACAGAAGGCCTGCCCCTGCGTGTGATAGCGTAGGTCTGTCTCAAAGCCAAAGGACTCTATCACTGGGAGAATGGCCTGGGGGAGACAAAGCACAGGAAGAAGGGAGGGCAGGTGAAGGGGAAAATTGAATATAAGTCGGCTCAATTGAAACAGTGTGCTCTTGTTGAGAGGGTCCCCCGGCACCACGGCCCAGTGGTCAAACACCGACACACAGAAGGCCTGCCCCTGTGTGTGATAGCGCAGATCCGTCTCAAAGCCAAAGGACTCGATCACTGGGAGAATGGCCTGGGGGAGGGGGGAGCGCAGCAGAGGAAACAGGGAGGCCGGGTGGAGGGAGATTGAATTTGGTTGACTCGTTTCAGACTGTATGCTGTTGACTAGAGAATGGCTGGCACCACAGCCCAGTGGTCAAACACAGACACACAGAAGGCCTGCCCCTGCGTGTGATAGCGCAGATCGGTCATGAATCCGAAGGACTCTCACTGGCAGGATGGCCTGGGGGAGGAGAGAGGGTGGAAGCACAGCACAGCATTTCACTTTGCGGACATGCCATCACGTGCGTGCACCATCTGCACACCTTAGAAACACGAACCAGAGAACAGTACAGGACCTTGACAATGTAGGCGGGTGTGGCGGACTTGGCAGCATCGACGGTCACATGGCCTAGACAACATAAATACCACGAAATACTAGTTACAACAGAGCATGACATCACATGCGCGCATCATATATTGGAGTGACTTTTGAGAATTCTCAAAAGATACTAGTTACAACAGAGCATGACATCACATGCGCGCATCATCACCGCACCTTGACGATGTTGGCAGGGGTGCCAGCCTTGGCTGTATCACCCGTCACGTGACTTCGACGGCACAAATACCAAGGGAGGCTAGTTCAAACGGCCCACAACATCGCATGCACACACAATTCGAGCACCTTGACAATGTAGGCGGGAGTGCCGGCCTTGGCAGCATCGCCCGTCACGTGACCTCGACGGCGCGACAGCACCGTGTAGATGGCAGACATGCAGTCCGCAGGGGTCTGGATCTGAAGGAGGGGTAAAGAGGGGAGTTTGTAGAGTGAAAATGGGGGAGATGACGAAAAGCGATAAGTAGGTGGCAATGGGGGAGATGAAACGGAAGCGCTTGGCAGCACAGCACTGTGTCGTTGGCTGCCATGCAGTCTGCAGGGGCCTGAATCTGAAGGGCAGAGAAGGCAATGGAGAAAGGTGGGGAGGGGTGACGATGACTAGGTGGGAACATCCAAGTGTGCGACAGCACCGGATCTGGATTTCAGATCTTGGTTGAGTGTTAGGCAAGGTAGATGGGAGTAGCGAGAGCGCCCTCGTTTACTTGATCCCTACCTAGCCTAGGCACCTACGGAATAGCGAATATTAGGACGAGCTTAGTCTGCTGGATCTGGGTCGAATCTATACTTTCTGCGGGATTAAGAGACGTATGAATAAGTAGGTGGGAGAGGCACGCAGATTGCACCATGTAGATGGCCCACATGCTGTCAGCATGGTTCTGGATCTGGCAGATCCTCTGACATACTGACTTCCAGAATGGTTCTACGAGAATAAATGGCCCACATGCTGTCAGCATGGTTCTGGATCTGCAAGGATGGGAGACTGAGACTGCGAGGTGGTTGTAGTCACATGTGAGAAGACTTTTGAGTCGACTCAAAACTCAAAAGTCAACTTTTGAGTCGACTCAAAACTCAAAAGTCAACTTTTGAGTCGACTCAAAACTCAAAAGTCAACTTTTGAGTCGACTCAAAACTCAAAAGTCAACTTTTGAGTCGACTCAAAACTCAAAAGTCAACTTTTGAGTCGACTCAAAACTCAAAAGTCAACTTTTGAGTCGACTCAAAACTCAAAAGTCAACTTTTGAGTCGACTCAAAACTCAAAAGTCAACTTTTGAGTCGACTCAAAACTCAAAAGTCAACTTTTGAGTCGACTCAAAACTCAAAAGTCAACTTTTGAGTCGACTCAAAACTCAAAAGTCAACTTTTGAGTCGACTCAAAACTCAAAAGTCAACTTTTGAGTCGACTCAAAACTCAAAAGTCAACTTTTGAGTCGACTCAAAACTCAAAAGTCAACTTTTGAGTCGACTCAAAACTCAAAAGTCAACTTTTGAGTCGACTCAAAACTCAAAAGTCAACTTTTGAGTCGACTCAAAACTCAAAAGTCAACTTTTGAGTCGACTCAAAACTCAAAAGTCAACTTTTGAGTCGACTCAAAACTCAAAAGTCAACTTTTGAGTCGACTCAAAACTCAAAAGTCAACTTTTGAGTCGACTCAAAACTCAAAAGTCAGCTTTTGAGTCGACTCAAAGGATGTGAGAATTCTCAAAAGCAAAACAGAGCTTTTTAAGGAGAGGGATCGTGAGAGGGTTGTACATCAACGGAATAAGCGCATGCCGGGCGTGGGGGGTGGGTGGGGCGGGAGACCATCCCACCAGACGGCAGGACGTAAGGATGACCTGCCCACCTCCTCGCTGAATGTTTCCCCCGAAGAACCCCCAACTCACGTCAATGCGGTAAAAGGGTTCCATGAGGCCGGCCAGGAGACGCCACGCCATGCGCAAAGCAGAATATGCCGCAAGGAAGGACGAGGGATGATCTGCCCGACCCCCCACAGCATGGTTAACCCCTAAGAGCGAGAGAAACCACAACTTCTGATCTCAGCAACTTACTGCTTAGAGCAAGAGCACTTACCTCCACGAAGTGAACAGGTTCCATGAGGCGAGGCGAAGCCATGAGGAAAGCAGAGTAGGCTGAATGCGTTCTTTTAGAATTCCAAAAAAGCGCATTAGGCCACACGAGGTGACTTTTGAGTCGACTCAAAAAGCGCATTAGGCCACACGAGGTGACTTTTGAGTCGACTCAAAAAGCGCATTAGGCCACACGACAAGACATGGGGATGACCTGCCAGCCAGCCCCCCTTTCTGCCTTATCAACCTTCAAGCTAAAATCTCCACACTGAAAGAACAAGAGCACTCACCTCCACAAAGTAAACGGGTTCCATGAGGCGAGGTGAGGCCATGAGAAACGCAGAATATGCAACACGGCGAGACGTGGGGATGACCTGACCGCCCCCCCGCTGCAGCGGGTCCGGTGCCACGAGAGCGTCTAACAGCCTGAATCGCACATTCCTCATGGGCTCATCACACAGAGGGCCCTCCCTCGCTCCCCACTGGAAGCTGCAGGGAAGACGGAAAAGGATGGACATGGTGAGAGGGACAGGAAGGGACGGACATGGTGAGAGGGACAGGAAGGGATGGACATGGTGAGAGGGACAGGAAGGGATGGACATGGTGAGAGGGACAGGAAGGGATGGACATGGTGAGAGGGACAGGAAGGGATGGACATGGTGAGAGGGACAGGAAGGGATGGACATGGTGAGAGGGACAGGAAGGGATGGACATGGTGAGAGGGACAGGAAGGGATGGACATGGTGAGAGGGACAGGAAGGGATGGACATGGTGAGAGGGACAGGAAGGGATGGACATGGTGAGAGGGACAGGAAGGGATGGACATGGTGAGAGGGACAGGAAGGGATGGACATGGTGAGAGGGACAGGAAGGGATGGACATGGTGAGAGGGACAGGAAGGGATGGACATGGTGAGAGGGACAGGAAGGGATGGACATGGTGAGAGGGACAGGAAGGGATGGACATGGTGAGAGGGACAGGAAGGGATGGACATGGTGAGAGGGACAGGAAGGGATGGACATGGTGAGAGGGACAGGAAGGGATGGACATGGTGAGAGGGACAGGAAGGGATGGACATGGTGAGAGGGACAGGAAGGGATGGACATGGTGAGAGGGACAGGAAGGGATGGACATGGTGAGAGGGACAGGAAGGGATGGACATGGTGAGAGGGACAGGAAGGGATGGACATGGTGAGAGGGACAGGAAGGGATGGACATGGTGAGAGGGACAGGAAGGGATGGACATGGTGAGAGGGACAGGAAGGGATGGACATGGTGAGAGGGACAGGAAGGGATGGACATGGTGAGAGGGACAGGAAGGGATGGACATGGTGAGAGGGACAGGAAGGGATGGACATGGTGAGAGGGACAGGAAGGGATGGACATGGTGAGAGGGACAGGAAGGGATGGACATGGTGAGAGGGACAGGAAGGGATGGACATGGTGAGAGGGACAGGAAGGGATGGACATGGTGAGAGGGACAGGAAGGGATGGACATGGTGAGAGGGACAGGAAGGGATGGACATGGTGAGAGGGACAGGAAGGGATGGACATGGTGAGAGGGACAGGAAGGGATGGACATGGTGAGAGGGACAGGAAGGGATGGACATGGTGAGAGGGACAGGAAGGGATGGACATGGTGAGAGGGACAGGAAGGGATGGACATGGTGAGAGGGACAGGAAGGGATGGACATGGTGAGAGAGACAGGAAGGGATGGACATGGTGAGAGGGACAGGAAGGGATGGACATGGTGAGAGGGACAGGAAGGGATGGACATGGTGAGAGGGACAGGAAGGGATGGACATGGTGGGAGGGACAGGAAGGGACGGACATGGTGAGAGGGACAGGAAGGGATGGACATGGTGAGAGGGACAGGAAGGGATGGACATGGTGAGAGGGACAGGAAGGGATGGACATGGTGAGAGGGACAGGAAGGGATGGACATGGTGAGAGGGACAGGAAGGGATGGACATGGTGAGAGGGACAGGAAGGGATGGACATGGTGAGAGGGACAGGAAGGGATGGACATGGTGAGAGGGACAGGAAGGGATGGACATGGTGAGAGGGACAGGAAGGGATGGACATGGTGAGAGGGACAGGAAGGGATGGACATGGTGAGAGGGACAGGAAGGGATGGACGGGGAGAGACGGACAGGAGGGGAAAACGAAGCCAGCACTTTTCACAGGCGGCATGATTAAGGCGCCTCAATAATCAACACATGTTTCTTTCAGTCCTTTTCAGAATGCAAGGAGGAAAAGAGGAAGGGTTGTGGCTTACCCTTGGATGACGGACTCCTTGACGGCAGCCAATAGGTTCTTATCCACTTCACTGGGAAGAGTATCGTTCACCAGAATGTTGGGCCCCTGAAGGGGAAGGGGTGAGGAATACGGGGGGTTCGGAGGGACAGACCGCGGTAGCAAGAGGAAGGGAGGATAGAAACGGAGGGAAGAGTTAGAACCAACTCCTTGACGGTTGCCAGCAGGTTCTTGTCCACCTCACTGGGAAGCGTGTCATGCACCAGGATGTTGGGACCCTGTGCGTGGGGGCAAGGGAGGGGCACACAGAGATAGCGAGAGAACAGGGAAGAGAAACAGGAGGGAAGAGGAGGTAAGAAGGTGTGCAGGAGTCATAATTGCCGGATCCTTGAATCAAAAGCGGTTTTTGAATGTATAGATGGGTTGGAAGCAGGTTTGTCCACCTGCTCACACCCTTCACCCACCTGTCGGTCGGGGCCAAAGGCCCAGATGGAGCGGGCGGCCAGCAGGTCCCAGTCGTACTTGGTCTGAAAGAACTCCGCCATGCGCTTCTTGGGCCAGTCCAGGGACACTGCCCCGCTCTCAAGATCCTCTGCCAGGCCTTTCTCCATGGGCTCTGCGATCTGAGGAAAGCAGGGGAACGAGGTACATGAGACGATAACAGGGGGAAATAAAGGAACGATCCGCCATGCGCTTCTTGGGCCAATCCACGGACACAGTGTCGCTCTCAAGGTCCTCTGCTAGCCCCTTCTCCATGGGTTCTGCAATCTGAAATGAGTGTGAGAGGCAGAGGGAGAACAAATAGGAGCAGGGGGGTGAGCGATGGGAGAAACTCCGCCATGCACTTCTTGGGCCAGTCTAGAGACACCGCCCCGCTCTCCCAGTTCTCTGCTAACCCCTTCTCCATGGCTCCGCGACCGAGAGACGAGGGCAGAGGAGAGCAGATATGTAGAATCATCAGCAGGGTGGCTTTCTGATAACATAGGATAGCATAGCATGCCATGGTGATCGCGTTACTCCTGTTTGGAGTCCCCACCAGCGAAGCACATAAATGTGTGTAAGCATGGTGCATGTGCTGCTATGCTACCAAGCTCCCATACATGTGTCAACATAAACGCATGGGTACGTACACACATGGCATACCATGGTGATCTTGTTCTTCTTGTTGGGCGTCTCAGCAAAGCACTTAAGAGAAGAAGTTTCGACAACGGTTTCACAGAAGGACACCACTGGGTCCGCCACCTGTGGGTAAGAAACGCAAGGCAAGGTCAGGGAGGCCAAGGGAAGCAGTGGCATAGGCAGGCCGAGGGCAAGTGGGGCGACGGCAGGGGTGGTGAGGGCGGGGGGGCGAGGGCAGAGGGCATGGGATGACCAAGAATGATAAATTAACAAGGCAAGGGCAGAAGAGGGCATCGAACTCCCAAGCATGGAATCCTTTAAGAGGGGCAATCTCTCACGCTCTTAATCATGATCAAACTCAGAAACAGATTGTCTGTGTGTGCCCAACACCGTGTGATCGCCTGATTGTTCCTCCCTCCCCACTGCTAGCGCGTCACAAATTCCAAGGCCCCTAAACCCCAGAAACCCAAACCTTGAGCTCTACTAACCTTGACTTCCACCTTGGAGAACAAACCCCAGAGGTCCTCCACAGCGGAATCCACAAACAGCTTTCTCGTGCCAGCAGCGTGTACTCGCCCTTCCCTCCACCCTCATCACAGCCAGCAGGGATAAACCCCTAAACCCCTGCAACCCCAAAACCACAACCCCCTCTGCTCACCTTGACTTCCACCCTAAGTTGCCAAATACGCTCAACCCCTTCAGCGTATAGCATATGTACACTAGCGTTTGTACGCTATGCGCAATACGCCCGCAAATACGCTATACGCTTTCAGAAAAATTTCCGGGCTGCCCAGAAAAAAACATCGCGAAATAGTTGCGGAATTTCTAGGTGAGCATTCCGCCGAAGTCGAAATGAAAATCCATGGTCTAGGCTAGCCGGGATCTGACTTTGAAGTTTTCAGGCACATTTGGGACAAATGTCGAATTTAAGATCTACACATTTATTGAAACCCATTTCATCTACCGCATTGAAACCCATTCCAACCCCAACCCATCTACAAACTCCAACCCTTCAAAATCGACCCCTAGCTGCTAATTCGTCATTTCCCACGAATAATTCCCGCTTAAAACAGCGTTCCTCCCGCCCACTCGTACTTCTCTCTCTAGCTGAAATGTCTACCCCACCTCCCGCCCCACCCGCCGTTCGGACTCAGAAGAATGCTGCTAGGGGCACGTCATAGTGAGAATACGGAGTAGTTTTTTCCTCACCCTGCCCGGAAAGTTTTTTCCCTGCCCGAAAAGCGTATGTCCACATCGACCCCCTACGCGGATAGCGTACATACGCTAGCGTATATACGATACGCGTATATACGCTATAAACGTACTTGGCAACTTAGCTTCCACCTCGGAAAACAGGTCCCTCAGGTCCTACAAGACCAAGTCCAAGAACAGATCGCCTGTGCCCAGCACCGTGTGCTCGCCCGACTCCACCCGTGTCACAGCCAGCCGGGATCAAACCTTGAAACCCTGAACCCCGACCCCTTCGCTCACCTTGACTTCCACCTCGGAAAACCAATCCCTCAGGTCCTTCATGACAGAGTCCAAGAACAGCTCCCCCGTGCCCAGCACCGTGTGTTCCCCACACTCATGAACACCAGCCCTTACCCCCCGCCTTGCAACCCCAACATATCAAGCCCCTCAGCTCACCTTGACTTCCACCTCTGAGAACAAGTCTCTCAAGTCCTTCATCACCGAATCCAAGAGCAGCTCGCCCGTGCCCAGCACATGCGCTTGCCGGACTCCTCCACCCTCCCCAATTTCAGCCAGGCCAAAACCCTTAGCCCCTTAAGACCCCCCATTTTCAGCCTGTTCTCACCTTGACTTCCACTTCGGAGAACAAGTCTCTCAAGTCCTTCATCACCGAATCCAAGAACAGCTCCCCAGTGCCCAGCACCGTGTGTTCGCCCGACTCCTCCACCCGTGTAACGGCCAGCGGGTAGCTCTTGCTGATCTTCCTCAGCCCCTCCACCATTTTGGGCAGCTCCGATGGGTTCAGCGGCTCTGTGGCTACCTTAACAACCGACACCGTGTTGAATTTCAGCGGCGCGATGATAAACACGTCCTCATCATCCTCCTCTTCTTCATCCTCCTCACCTCCTCCTGCTCCCCACCGCCCCCCTGCTCCCGCTCCGGCCTTCTTCCCCCCCGCCTCCTCCTCATCCTCATCCTCCGCGCCTCCGTAACCCCCCTGCTGACCAAACTCCTCACAGAGGGTCGCTGTCTTCGTTATAGACGCGTCCACTCCCTCTATAAGCACCCAGGAGCCAGCCGGAGCAGACGAAATCGGCACCCTGTACCTAGCCTGGTATAACCACAGCTTTGTAACCACCTTCACAGCCATATCCTCCTCATCATCAGGCGAATAAGCCTCTCCCAAAACCCTAACCGTCTGCCCAGTCCTAAGAGTCCCACACATCACTCTCCCCAGAGCATCGAATGCTGAGCAGTCTGGCTTAGGGTACAGCTTCGTCACATGCACCATCAACGGCCCTCGTCGCTTCGCGCTGCAGGACAGCATCGCAGCCGCCCGTTTGCCCACCAGCGGGCCAGTGTACGTCGTCTGGACCTTCACCGGCGCAGCAGCCTTAGCGGACGGCAAATGCCGGATGATCATATCAGCCAAACCCCCCGCGCCGCCCCCTAAAACCGCCCCTATAGCCGCCTTGAGCAGCGGTTTCACGTTCATTTTGTAAGTAGAGGGACGGAGAGACACCCCTAGCTCGCCTAGAGTAGCCTCTACGCTCTTCTTATGCTCCCCAACCACCTGAGAGTACAGCTTATACAGCGGCTCCAGGACAAACGTCACAAACGTCCGCTCGCCGCCACCCGCGGGCGGCTTCCTTCGGAAGGATCTGGTGTCGGGGTGGTAGTACAGGTCACCCCACAGCCGCTTCGCGAGCTGTTCAGGATCGAAATTTACCCCGTGAGTTTGGGTGTAAAGTTTGGAAAAGGAAAGGAGGGTGAAAGACCAGCCAGCAGCAGCAGAGGCGAAGCAGACGTTCCCGAGGACCGGGTCCAGCTGGGGAGCTTCGGAAGGCATGGCTGCCGAGACGACTGCCGAGCCTGAGCTGGAGGTTCGGGCGGCCATGGCGGCGGGAGCATAGGATGCGATGAGGGCGTTGACCTCCTCGAGAGTGTGGCGCAGCTTGTGGTAGGCGTCTGGGGGTGGGAGCTTGAGCTCAGTTATCAACCGGTCCACCTGAAAAGGAGGGGGTGTAGACGGAAAGTGGGGCCAGAAGTGAAGAGGGAATGAGAGAGACGGAGATGAGAGTGTTGACGGTTGACCTCCTCTAGAGTGTGACGGAGCTTGTGATAAGGGTCTGGCGGGGGGGGCTTGAGCTCCATTATCAGACGGTCCACCTGACAAGGGGGCACAGGGAAGGGGAGAGAGACGTGGAGGATGGAGAGGAGGAAATGGAAGAGAAGGAGATAAAGAGAGGTGGAGAGGATCCAAGTGTGTGAAGGTCGCAATGAGAGCAGAGCAGTGGAGAGGCGAGAGGAAGGGATGGACGAGTGAACAAAGGAGTGACAAATAGGATAACAAAGTAAGAGAGGGTGATATAGAACAACACTACCGGGGGCAGAAGGGAATGTTAGGGGAAGCGAGTGGGCAAACAGGCAATAAAGAGGAGAAAGAGGACAAGAGGGCGAAAGGACACACACACCTTGTTGATGCAGAGGGTGATGGCCAAACCCTGCTGCAACGCATGCTTCAGTGCTCGCTCCGTGTTCACCTGTCCAAGAGGGCAATGCATCAGACGAAGCAGGAAGCCTGGACGGGTGAAAACAAAGGCGCTTACATGTATCACAAATGGAAAACGCAGGTTTGGGGAAAAGAAAGTGATAAGCACATTTACGACTGCGACGAGTTGGCTTGTGGTGAGAAGCGATTGAACTGACTCGTGTTATTCACCTCACAAACCGCAAGTCAGGCAACTTTCACTATCCACACAACCCAATCCGCCTACATTTCACCATGACCCCTTCCACGGCATCAACGACCAGCACCACCCCGTCCGCCAGGCGCATCCCGGCCGTCATCTCATCTGAGAAGTTCACATGCCCGGGCGTGTCCACCACATTGCACAGATACGACTTCCCCCGTTAAGAACTTCCTTCCCCCAAAATCGTACCTTGCATCCCCAACACTCAGCCTCATTCTTCCCAAACCAAACCTCAATCGAATCCCGGAATTCGATTCTCAAATCTCAAACCTCCTACCACCAATCCCGAGCCCTACATCTCACCATGACTCCCTCCACGGCGTCAACGACCAGCACTACGCCGTCCGCCAGGCGCATCCCGGCCGTCATTTCATCCGAGAAGTTCACATGCCCGGGCGTGTCCACCACATTGCACAGATACGATTTCCCCGTCGAATCCTCCAGCACAAGCGACATCGGAACCGCCTTAATGCTAATCATCCGCTGCTGCTCGTCCACGCGCGTATCCGTAAACCGCATGTGCCGCTGGCTCTCCGGATTCAGCGTGGCGACGTCAGGATGAGTCGCTTCGACGAGCATATCCATAAGGAGGGTTTTTCCCGCGTGGAGGTGACCTGCTAGAGCGACGTTTCGGACCAGGGTTGGATTTTTCATCAATCCGACGATGAACTCCGTCGACACGTACGTTGCGAGCACGCCTTTCGATGCCACCTCGAATTTGAACTGCCGGACCGGCTTGACGATCGGCTCTTCTAACGGCTGAGCGTCTTCGTCCTCGACTAGGGTTTCGACGTCCTCGCCGTATACCTCAATCGCCGTCGGGTAATACTTTTTATCTTCGGCTAATATCACTGCTCCCTCGTTATCCGGCTCCTCTTCGTCTTCTTCCATCCCGATCATTTCGCCTCCTGCTCCTTCGCCGTCTGCTAGTTCCTGTTCCTGCTCATCCTCTTCCTCTTCTTCCTCCTCATCAGACGCGATTTCCGGGCCGATGTAGTTTCCAAACTCGTCGTAAAGGTTCTCATCCATTGTCGGAGAACGACTGATCGTAGGACTTCGCAGGTAAAAAAAAGGAAAGGTTGGACAAAATTACAGCCCGTAATCGGACGATTCGCGAGCCGAAAGAGATAAAAGTGATAAAGATGCGACCTGCAAACCTGCGGTAACGAGATCGGAAGGACACACTCTGAGCGATGCGAAGGGAATGCCTACGAGGTGGCTAGGTCGTTGATGAAAAGGGAAATTCCAGCAATGGCGTGGCGTATGGATTGGTGCAGAGGAACCACACGCGATAAATATATGAAGCTACAAATATGTAAACAGATTATTATCGATGCTGCTTTTGGAGGAATACTCGAGCAAATTTGTGACCTGTGACCACGAATCCAACGGTCGTCTGCTTCCATGTTTGAGCGCGTAACTTTCGCGAACGTCGTCAGTGAAATATCTGTCTTTCGCGTATCCTCTTGTTCCTGGCCAAGCAATTCTTCCCTTCTGAGTGTTCCTTCCCCCATTTGACGTACGGTCATTCATCTTCCCACATTCCCCAGCAGAAATGACGTGTCTTGCGCTGACCACGGCTTCTAGTTTGTCATTTCAGTCTCCTAACTGAGATATCCTGACTTTCGCGTAGCAGCTCTACCTTGTAGCAGCCTTCACTGTGTGGTGAGTTTGCCATGCTCTGCACTGCTCGAACCTCCACTTGCGCTATAGTACAAACCAGTCGTCATTCGCTCCTCCACTCGCGACCTGTGTCGTTTACAACCTATGGGGCAAGGCTCATTCACGACGTCGAAACCGGCGGTTTAAGAGGTACCCACTTAGCGAGTTACCAATTTCGTAGTGTCCATGACCGCCGTCAGTCGCGTTGCACCTATGGATTCGAGGACGGACTCTCCAGTCGCGGAAGACTCAGGAATCCGAGGTCAATCAGCAGCTTCAGCGACGCGATTACAAGCTCTTGTGGAGGAGGTTGTGGCGCAAAATTTTCATACATGGGGAGTAGACGGAAGACAAGAAGTGGTAGTCGGCCACTTTTCAACAGCGAACGCGATTATATGACGTTGACGGAGAACTTGACGGTTTCCGCTGTAGATGCTGCTGGATCAATATCTGCCGGAAGGACTCATACAGCGTCTGCACAGGACTCAAAAGAACCGTTTTCGGGCAATACGAGACGGCGGAGACAACGAGGATCAACAGACAGACGCGTCAGTGGCGTGGTTAACAGCATTCGTGATGGCGCCACGGGAGAATCTGTCACGAATTGCGTCGGCGGCGACGACAGCAGCAGCAGCAGCAGCAACAGTGAAAAAACCCAAAGAATCGATAGCGGATACAGCCAAAGCAACCGTAGTGGCAGCAGTGGAAGCACGACGAACGGAGATCCTAGCCCACCTTCAACTCAGCAGGTGGAGGAACAAGAAAAACGAACACACTCGAGAAAGAGGCGTTTGCGCGCAGCCAGTCGTCTCATGCCACCTGTCCCTGCAGGCCACGAGCTGCTGGGTCGATGGCAGGCCACATTGCCTAACAGCAAGGCCGGCAGGGGAGGCCCCCTTATCGAAAATGGAGTGTTTCGGGGAGTGGGTGGTGATGGCATGACCACACGGGGTGCCAATGACAGCACCTCCAGCAGTAGAACTGTACACAGCAGCAGTTATCCCTCATACACTCGCACCAACACCAGCAGCAGCAGCAGTATCAGCAGCAGCAGTACCGCTAATGCCAGCAGCAGGAGTCTGTTCTTATATCTGCCATGGCCGGGGGGTCAGATGATTATAGAGGGGGACGAGGAGGCAGAAGCAGCTGCAGACGCTGCAGTGGAGGCTGAGTTGCTGGAGAGGAGAAGGAGAAGGCAGCAGACGAAGCGAGTGTATGGGCCAAGGTCAGAGGAGGAGAGGAGGAGGATTAGTGAGGGGTTGAGAGCGGTGGAGAGGAGAACTGGGCGCCTGTCAAGGACTGCCAGAGAGAGATTTGAGGACCCGGAGAGAAAGGAGAGGTTGCGGGCAGCAATGATGGTGAGCTTGGTGTCTGGCTGTGTCAGTTTATGATTATGCTGCTCAAACATGCTTTCTTTGCATAATCTCTTAAGGAAATGTATGTTTTTTCTCCCTGAAGCGTTTGTTAATCACAATCCATCATACCTATTATCGGTCAGCATCGCATGTCACTGTGCTGAACTGCACTCAACCAACCAACTCACATCAAATTTGCACTGTGCATTTACGCTCACGTCTGATGAGATGTGTAGGAGCACAGTTCTGGTCCTAGTGTTTGTCTTCAAACAGTCTATTCTAGATGAATGTAGTTCCTCCTTTCCATTGACTGCAGATTCTTGCCTTGGCTTTTCGCCTTCACTTTCCCCTTTTCAACCCTCCATATTTTCAGAAGGGATACTACGAGAAGAATGCCCCGTCCAAGATATCGGCACGGGCCAAGCGGCGTTGTGCTGACCCTGCATTCAGGCAGCTTATCAGCCAAGTAAAGACAGGTGATGAAGCGTTGTTACACCACCCCTGTTCTTGTCTTCAATCTCTTTTTTTTTCCCTGATCTTATTTGTGTTTCAATTTCCCCCGTTTCCCCCCTTTTGTTTACATGTTTCTTCCCACCCCTTCCACCCCTTCTTTCCCTTTTATGCTAGGTGTGGCGTTTCATTGCAAAGCTTGTGGCCAGGCTGGTCATCGGAGAAACTTTTGCCCCTCATTGGGGCATGTGAAGCAAGACCGTACAAAAAGAGGTCTGAGGAGGCCTATGCAGTGCACGAAGTGTGGGGAACTCGGACATAATCGCCGATCTTGCAAGATTCTCCCTGAGGATTCAACGAAAAGCCAACAGCTTACACCTGCCCTGAGGGCCACAGAGGAGGTCAAAGCAGGGAAGGTGTTGCACAGACTTATCCGGTGCTCAAAGTGTGGCAGTACTGGGCATAATCGGCGCACTTGCGAGCTCCTGATTAAGCTTAGCAAAGAGCAGATTTGAGCCACAATGATTTAATAGAGCGTCTGGTGTATTTGGTGTATATTTATCTTCAATTTTTCATTCATGTGCCTGAAAAACGTAAACCACACTGACCTTCTATCGGAGTACTTGATTCGCGAATCCGGTCGTTCGCCTCTTCGCGAAAGCTCACACCCAAATAGCGACCATTGCAACAACAGCATACCAGCGAAGGAGCACGTTCGAGTCCTTTTTCTCCAGCCCCTAGTCCCATCCCTACTCTCCAATCAAGAGAATCTTGTCAAAGCGCTCTATTTTCCGGGCGCATGTGTCGAGACCAGGGAAGAAGCACCGCTTTCAGTGCAACACGAAAGCTCGTGTTTTCAAGCTGCCTTCATCCTAGCCACAAGCTTATCGAACGCTACAGGGTTCGGTCTATGCGGTTCCTCTCAAACCGCTGTTCGCCAGCTTCTATCTGGTCGATTCTTCCTCCGTTTCTTCCAACGAGATCCGCCAGCAAGTTATGAGTCAGCGAGCTATGCGGTATGGAACTCAGTCCCCATTGCCTTATAAATAGTTTTTTTTTAACGGGACGCATTCATTAACTGATTACTGGGAGCTTTGCTGCAGCAGGCCAGACGGGCCTGATATACTCTTGCTCGCAATGCTGGAGGGTCGTCGGATTCCGTGATGCCCTTCTCTCGTTCTTCTTCTCGCGAGAGTTTCCACACTTTGAGCAAGGATGTCTCACTCTTCGTGGAAGTCCTTTACTTCGCGACATACCTCCACTCAACTTCACCCCCTTTTTCCCCCTCTGCACTCTCTCTCCCTGACCCTCTTCCGCCCTTGACCACCACACTGTTCGCGGCCCCCCATCCCCTCCCCGCTTCTCTTCCCCGCCTTATCTCCTTGAGCAGATTTCTTCCCGCTGCTCGCCGGTTTCTCCGCGCATCGCTGCCATCAATCTCTTCCCCAATACCATCCGAATCATCAGCCTTACTACCATTGCCGAGACTCGGACTGTTTGGCCGAACAAGAACGGCGCCTAGACCAGCAGCATTGCTTGCAAGCTTCAAGGCGGACTTATCTCCTCGAACCGACCTCAATCCTTTCCCACCATCTCCCTTTCTTCCTCGTCTTTCTCAACACGAATCACCTCCAACGTATGTAAAACAATTCCGGCTTCTTGCCTCCTGGAGACCCCCTAGCCACACCATTGAATCCCACGCGTTAACATCTCATTCGCCTCCCTTTCTCTCTCCATCGTTTCCCTTATCCGTTTCATCCCACCGCCATTCTTCCTCTATCCGATCTAAGACCCACATGAAGGCTGTAGTTTTTGACGAGCCTGGAGGTGCGGAGGTCCTCCAGGTTCGGGAGGTTCCAATGCCCGAGGTTCGGGAGGGGGAGGTGCTCATTCGTGTCGCTGCTACTGCTCTGAATAGAGCCGATATCATGCAGCGTCTGGGATCCTATCCTCCACCTGAAGGTCGGTGCGTATATAAGTATTTCTCCTTGCATCATCACACTTTTCAAATATGGTCACACGCATGGGTGCACAGAGTGGGCACGAACCCATTTGCACATGTTCTTTTGCTGTTTGTGTTCCGAAATGGGGCTGTTTTTTTCCCCTGTTAATTTCTCTATTCTCAGGTGCATCACCCATTCTTGGTCTAGAGTGCTCTGGCACTGTCGAGTCGGTTGGCTCTCACGTAACACGCTGGAAGGTTGGCGATCAGGTGAATACATACCAATTTCTAAATCACTGTCAGTATTGTCCCTCGACACGCCTGATTTAAGCTCTCCTTTCTTGTGATACTTTATTGTCTCCACTTTACCCTTGCTTAGGTCTGTGCATTGCTGGCTGGGGGTGGGTACGCTGAGTATGTAGCAGTACCTGAGTCCCAGATTCTTCCAGTGCCAGTCGGTGTGCCGCTAGTGGACGCTGCAGCTCTGCCGGAGGCTGCATGCACGGTGTGGTCCACTGTCTTCATGATGGCGAAGCTGCAGCCTGGAGAGTCGTTTCTGGTGCATGGTGGATCCAGTGGTATTGGTACATTTGCTATTCAGTTGGTGAAGCTGCTCGGAAGTCGTGTCTTCTGTACAGCTGGTAAGCAACACGAAATCAAGAAAAGTCGTAGCAAATCCCTGAGCTGATGTGGTTCATCTGTTCACCTGTACCATGTTCCTTGTTGTCTATGACCCTTGGGGGTGGAAGTGCAAGTTCTAGCATGAGTGGGGGGTGGCCATGTCTGGAAGGCAGAGCGGACTTATTCTGTTTCCTCTTCCCTCGCCAGGCTCAACAGAGAAGCTTAATCGGTGCCGTCAACTGGGTGCGGATGTAACAATCAACTATCGCAAGGAGGATTTTCTGACACGTGTCAAGGAGGAGACTGGTGGGAAAGGTAATGTTAGCTACCTTCCATATAGTTCTGGGATTATGCTGTAGCAAATTTATATTGAAGCCTGATCAGCTGGTCAGCTTTTGGCTGGTTCAGATATGACAACCTTTTGCCTCTTCTGCATTGGATTGTTACTTTGTGACTGTCGCCAGGTGTAAATGTGATACTTGACAACATGGGTGCTTCCTACTTGGAGAAGAACCTGTCCTGCCTGGTGGAGGATGGCCGAATGATTGTGATAGGCCTTCAGGGTGGTCGCATTGGCAGTGTGGATCTAGGACGCATGTTGATGAAGCGGCTTTCCCTGCATTGTAAGGATCTGCATATGGTTGTTGTGTGTTATCTGTTTTCATTTGCGATAGTAATAACTGTAACTTCTTCCTTGTCTTCGCAGCTGCAGGCTTAAGGTCCAGACCACTGGGTCAGAAGGCAGAGATTGTGAGGGAAGTGGAGGCCAACGTTTGGCCACTCATCTCCTCTGGACAATTGAAGCCCGTAATATTTCAGGAACTCTCCATGGCAGATGTGCAAGTTGCACATGCACTGATGGAGTCAAGTGTTCACATTGGAAAAATAACACTTATTCCATGATTTTTGTGGTGCCAACATGGGACGTGCTGCTGGGCTCCTCAGAACGAGAGCATGGCCTTCTGAAGATTCGCTGGCAATTCAGTCAGAATTGAGTGAAAATGAACCAGCTCATTATGGTGGATCCTTTCTTGAGCGCTTTGACAAACGAGACGCTCCCTGCAAAGATGCAGGTTAGACATTGTGTAGAAGAAAAAAAATAGCAAGACACATGTACCTTACCTGGGATTGAGAATAATTTGCCGTGGAAAATGTTGCAGCTGTGCCTTCAGATTGCTCACAACGGGGATGTGATGGGATCTGGAATCACAAAACAGCTTTCAGAATGCAGCGCAATTACCATTAACACGCATTCTCTCATCCCTGATAATACCACCCCACTGCATTAATGGCAGCCTGACTGCCCATAGCACTTACTGATGCAGCAGAGTATGACAATGAAGGGCTGGCAGGCTTTGAAAAGGACCGGTGCTGTTCACAAGCACAACAGCCTGTTAGCCTGTGCCACCCTCAAATGTCTATAAAAAAATGGCTTTATTGTACCTTCTTGAGCCGTCCAGTTACAGCTGAGGCAGAACATTCTATGTCTTCAGTGGATGTGTATTTCAGACTGTGATTCAAGCACCGCTCCTTCCAGACTGCCAGCTCGCTCTTTGCCTGACATAATGAAGTGACCTTGTCAGCCCCACCCCAATGAACAACACAAGCTACTGGCAGCTAGTCTAACCATTCTCAGCTTCTGAGCAAGTGCCTGTACTTGTGAACTGTTAGAGTCTTCTTGCTCTTCGTTGGCTGATTTCAGCAGTTCAACCCTTTCAAGCAACTCATTCTGCCAAAATAGAATGGCTTTGAGAAAAGATAAGGAAAAGGGGGGCCACAGATGGTGGTTGTACCAGTACCTTCTCATTGCGTAGTCTTTTGGCAAGACTGCGCATTTGTATGAGAGTGTTCTCATGGTGTAACAACCTCTTATTCACCAGCTCCATCTCTTTTTGGTGAGCGTGACACTCATCCAGTGCAGACTTTAGTTGACCTGTAACACCACATTGAACGTGAGGGCAGATTTAGCTTAACGCTGCTACCTGCTTGCTTAACGTACCTGCTTCTTTTTTCAATGTCGAGGTTTGCAACTCCATTTTGTTTTGATAAACGCGACACTCATCCAGCTCGCACTTGAGTTGCTCTGTAACAACATTATAAGTGAGGGCAAATTTAGCCTAACGCTGCAGTCTCCTTGCTTAACGTACCTGCTTCTTTTTTCAATGTCGAAATCTGCAACTCCAGCTCAGAAATCTTCCTCTTCATTGACGCTGCTTTCTCATCCATCTCAAGCTTGGTGTCTTGATGGAATTTGAGGTCTTGAAGGATAGATGTGCATGCAATTTTGTGGTCAGCCTTGGCCGTTTCAAGCTCTGTGTCCTTCAACGAAAGTGTCTGTTCCAGCACGGCATTTGAGAGCTCCAACTCAGGAAACCTCGTCTGCAAGTCCGCCAACTCCTTTTCTGCTCTGAGCTTCGCCTCTTCATGGCATTTAAGGTCTTGCATCATTGATGAGACCAGAATTTCATGCTCAGCCTTAAGCCTCTCAAGTTCGGCCTCCTGCGATGAGAGGTTGTGCTTGAGCCTCACGTTACAAAGCTCCATCTCAGAAAAACTTATCTGCATCGATGCTGCTTTCTGCTGAAAGCCTTGTACTGCTTCTTCGTGTTGCTTCAGGCATTGACTCATGGATGAGGCCAGCGATGTATGCTCAGCATTAAGCCTCTCGACCTCAGATTCTCGTGAAGAAAGGGTTGATTCGAGGAGCATAATTTGCTGTTGGCAGATGTTAAGTGACTTCTTTAGCTCCTGGTTTTGATTCCTTAGAGATGAAAGCTCCATTTTCTGAAAAAGCGACGGGGTTAGTTGTGGTCCATGGAAGGGAATGACAAACGGTTGGCTTGCAGGGTGAGTAAGTAACTAGCCTGGTGGTGAGCGGATCTGGAAAGATCTTGAAGTCGCTTAACCAGTTGTGCTGCATGGAAGAACGGATAACTGTTAGCTTGTCTGGCACGGACTTCAACACGTGGTAAAAAAAGGTTCGTACCTTTTTCAGCGGTTGCCTTAGACATGTAAGAGGCACGTTCCTCATCTTTATCTTTCCTGGATGTCGCCAACGATTCCTCCAGCTCCTGCACTTTGCGTCTCCCTGAAAAACATTAACTCATGAAAATACTGCCAGTGTTGAGTAAGTCCAGAATGACATTTACAGCCCTACATTCTTCAATACAACCATTAAGGTCGCTCTTTGCCTTAATGAGCGATCGAGTATGTAATGTCGAATGAGCAAGCTCGTCGATTAGCTTGTTCTTTTCCTTTAAAAGATCTTCTGTTACAATGTCTCGCCGCCTCCTTTCCTCGTGTATTTCATGTCTGAGTTTTTCGGCGGTACCTCTCCAGTATTTCTCTACGCAGGCAAATCAGGAGTATGAGCGGCACGAAAAGTAAACAGAAGAAAGTTAGTACCTCGAAATTACTTACTGGACCTTGCTTCTTTTTGTAAGGCCTTCAAGAATTGCAAACCAAGAAACAGAAATTGTTTCTTGCTGAGTTGTATATTAGGTGACGTCTCCGCAGGTGCAATAGTGAAGCCGGATGACGTTTCCCGTGACGTAATAATGGCGTAATTCTGGTGTTGAAAATCCCATTGCCGCCAAGGTGTGCGCATATCCACTTGAATCTCCAACGCTTTATGTGTCACCTGTGTATCATCGGTTGTCACGGAAAAGCTGAGCTTAGAAGGAATCTTAGACAGATGAGTGTCCTGTGTATCTTGGTGTTTGGTAAGGTCTACGGGTTGAGGGCCACAAAGTAAGGCGTCGAGATTCGATTGGCAGAGACTTCCAGACAAGCGTAAGCTTGACTCGGAGCTCGCATACGGAGGATCTTCTATGCTATCTTTGTCTTCTGCGATGAATAAAACGCGTCCCCCACTTCCGTCATTGTGTGCATCGAGACCAGTAAAAACGACGCGAGAGTAAGTCTCGGCTGTTGAATCCGCCCCTGCGTGCCCTTGTGCATTGCCCATAGCTGCGTTAGTGGAAGACAAATAGAAGACACCCACAATGGAGACCGCTATGGTTCATCTCAAACTTGAAAGGTCATTTCCTGTTTGCTCACAGTTCGCAAAACGGCAATCACGATGAACGGCTTCGCTGTGATCGGGGTTGGATTATGAAGGCCCTATATCGAGACAACTACAAAAAGGTGTATCACGATTCACAATATCTACTTTGATGCTCTACAATGAAGTTCTTAACTAGATACGTAGACACACACAATATCTGGGATAATTATTAATAAATTATGAATTATGCCTTTTAAAAGAACTGTGAAATGCATCATTAGTCAAAATAAACAGATTTCAATAGGATGTGATTTTCTAATATACATAATTGAGCCCAAGTACATGAGAACCATAGGATAATTCCATTTTTATAGTCCTTGAAATTGATATAATAATGCATTTTTCTTAGGTGGTATGGGTGGGTAGGCTGTTAGCATGATTGGCATAACTTGTTTCAATTCAGTGTTGTGGTGGCGTAACCATCTGAATTACTAACAGGGAAGCGCCTCCAACGAATTTTCATCCTTGGGGGATCCCACCCACACCAAGGCACAACGGCTACTTTCCCGAATTTCAGTTCCCGCCAAAAGACATCACCGATCTCACATGCTTTGTTGATAAGTGATGCACTACAAAGGAATGTTTCCTCACAAGGTTAGGTATGCTGGTCTGAATGGAATCTGTTTTCAAGTTGCAGAGACATCATCGTTGCTCTGCAATGGAATCGTCGATTCCATGGGGCAAAATTATGGAAAAGCTCGACGGTCGAGATATTATGTCCCTAGCATTATGCAATAAGTCCTTTCTATCTATTGCCATGGAAGAATACACATGGAAGACTCGCTGTCTACAGGAGCTGGGCTGCAATGCACCCTCTAATAAGCCCCAATTTGGTTGGCTGGACATCTACAAAAGCATTATAGGTACTACATTTTTTGTTTACTCTGGATATCAGGCGTGCAATGTCTGACCCCTATCATCTGGTTTACAGACGGCAGTCACACTTACAGCTCAAGGCAATCCGACAAACACATTGGTAAGTGACGACACAAGGATCTCCTGCTTGATTTTCGCGACAGCCGTATTTACTTCGTCTTCCAGATTGGATGAGAATTGGAGCATTTTCGGTCACCAGCGGTCGAGTCGTAGCGACCGACACACTTCAAAAGGCAGCTGGATTCCAGCGGGAGGGAGACTCAGAGGTCAGACTCGCATCACTAGGTAGTTTAGCGGTTCGTGTTGTTGAAACTTACGCCAGGCGTGGTTTCAGTGCAATGAAGACTGCGGCTTGATGGCTTCCTGGACAATTGACGGCGTCCAGAACGGAATATGGATTGCAGGTAGACTGCTGATGTTTTTTGGCTGAATCTATATGCTGACACATTCCTAATACAACACTGTTGCGTCGTACAGATCTCCACCTTGTCCGCTGTCCTGTTTGCAGCCTCAAAACGTGTGAAGGTAAGACGATTCGGCTTCAACTTCCGCTTCGTTGAACACGAACCCATACAGCAACGCTTTTCCCTGCACAGGCACCATGCAAACACTTGACGCAAGGCATTATGAGCTGTTTCTACATGATGAGTGGAAATGTGGGGAGTGGAAATACGAGCAGCTAGCCTCACACGAAGCGCCGTTTCACTGTCCCCAAGCTGCTGGTGGACTTTTTGATGCAGGAACCATTGGCCGTCAAGAGCTAAAAGGTAAGCGCA